AATTTGTTTTCTCACAGTTCTGGAGGCTGGAAGTCCAAGATTAAGGTACTAGTCGACTCAGGTCCTGATGAGGGCTCTTTTCCTGGTTCGCAGATGGTTGCTTTCTCGCTGAGTCTTCACATGGTGGAGAGAGGGAGGGTTCTCTCTCTTCCTTTTGTTATAAGGCCACATTCCTACTGAATTAGGGCTCCACTCTTATGACATTTAAGTATTTAATCATTTAACTGTAATTACCTCTTAAAGACCCTATATCCAGATACAGTCACATTAGGGCTTTAACATATGCAAATTTTGTTGTTGTTGTTGTTGGGACAGACACAGTTAAGTCCATAGTGTCATTCTTCATAGAACTTAGAAATCACCTTCCCTAAGCATTCCTCATCTCCTAAGAGAGTGCTAGGTATCTATGCAAAAGAAGAATTAACGTAGCTGCTCGAGACTGCTGTCCTTGGAAAGGCCTGCTTGCAAGGCTGGACTTTGGCTGGCATCTGGGAACTTGGATTTCAAGAGGGTTCTCATCTGTTCCCTCACTGTGCCTCACTGCGCCTAAGAGTGGCTCATTGTGCCTAAACTGTTGGTACAAACAATGTAGTTTATGCCAAGCACCTGCTTTCCTTCTGGGAGTTTGGAGTTTTCCGGTACATGCTGGAGAGAGTGTGCGTATGCGACCAGCCTCCAGTAAAAGCCTTGGGCACCGAGTCTCTAATGAGGTTCTCTGGTAGACAGAACTTCGCATGTGTTGTCACAATTCAAAGCTGGAGGAATTCAGCATGTCCTGTATCCACTATATGTTCCCCCATAGCTCCTTGTACTGTAATTCTTACTATACTCTACTGTCATTTTCTGTTTACTTAGTTATTTTCCTCACTAGACAGCAATCTACTTGAGGGCAGAGCCAGTATCCTGCTTACTGCAGTGTTCCCTTGAGTGAGTTCACAGGGTATGGAGGAGTCACAAGAATGGGAAGGCACATGTACAAGGTTGAGACGATACAAACGATAGAGCAAGGTCTCAGGAGCTATGGTGGATGAATTACTCCACAGAGTGGAAAAGGGGAAAATGAGGAGTGAGACTATAGAGGGACCATAGCTTTGGGAGGGCTGCAGAGGAGTATCCTTCCTGATACCCTTGTTGGCATATGAAGACAGAGGTAAGGACATGCTTGACAGAGCCCACAGGATTTGAGTAGGAGACTTGAAGAGGTTCTCTATGGTCCCAGAGGGAAATGGAAACAGGGGCTGACTCAGATGGCTGAGTGGTGCAAAAGCTTAGGAAGCTATAATTTTGCAGTGACTCTAATACACATGGTTGTATGATTGTGAGGCTGTATGGCTTTCTTCTGGTGTGTTTAGAAATCTAGTCACCGGATCCAAGAGAGAGGCTTGTGAAATAGGTTTAGGGTTTTACAGAATGGATATAACAAAAGGATAAAGCAGTGAAGGAGTTGAGGGTGTGGGTGAGAAAGTGATCCACTTGATTGGGCATTCAGTACAGGAAGAAAAAGGAAGGAGTGAGGACATGGAAGGTGGGTGGGCACAAAAAAATTTCTCCATAAAATCAAAGAACAAGTTAAATGGAAAAGAGGGATGGAGAGAGCTGGGGATTTAAGAAGTTATTCGTATAATACAAACTTCCAGTGAGTTTAGTAATTTGTAGATAGAACTCTTATGATGGCAAAATCCAAGCATGGCTAAGGGCCTCAAACTGACTGCAGTGTATGTGGCGTGGGCATCAAGGAGGGAGGTCAAGAGCTATGAGGGTGGGGCATTGGGTGGGTGATCCTCGTCAGTGCTGAGCTCAGCCCGGATGATGAGAGGAGCTGGAATGGAGAGCAAGAGTGTGAAGCAGGTTATGCTGTCTGAAGTGAAACAGGTATAGGACACTGACAGGTTGTGGCAGGGGTTCTCAGCGTGTCATCTGCCGCTTTCCTTTCTATGCTCCATGCTTTAACAAATGGAACCACTGTTTATCACTCAAAGATCCTCTGTACTTTCTTACCTCTATGCTGTTACCCAAGCTTTCTCTGCTTTTGAGACATCCTTAATTTCAGTTCCCTCTGATGAAATTCTATGGCTCCTTCAATGAAGCTCCTCCTTCATGAAGTTTTTCTGATCTCCACCACCCACATTTACCCTTCCTTCCATAATATTTTGTAAATTATTTCTTGTGGGGAGGGATTTTAATATTCTGCTGTGTATTACAGGGATTTATGTTAATAGATGTATCTTTTCTGATAGCATGTGAGTTCCTTGAAATTATGGATCCGTCATGTTCATTTTTGTGTCATTCATAGCCATTTGCACGTAGTAGGACCCAGTGAACGTTCATGGGATTGAACGAATAGTATGATTTCAGAGTAGGGGCTGTATTTGGTTTAATTCTGTGTGATTTAACATTCAGGACAATGTTAAATAATTGTTCCAAGAACTGTTGACTCTTTGTTTTGTTTTTCTTTTTTGGGGGAAGGATCACAAGCTATTTCTGTTAAGAGTCTTAAATTTTATATAAATTAAGTTATTCAACAAGTATTTATTGAGTAGCAGATCCTGTGCTAGGGTCTGAGGGTACAAAGATAAAAAAGTCATGGTTCCTGCCTTTGAGGATCCCCAAATCTAATTTGATTAATAAAACAGGAATGGGCTCCTTCTAGAAACTGAGTCATCTGCATCAGAAGGTGTACACTCAGTCTCTTGGGTGAGGGTCTTCCCATTTAAGTCCTGGGCTGGAAGATTTACCTCTTGAAGATAAGGACTGTAAGGGGAGATCCTTTGATTTCTCCCATAATCTGCAGTGCTTGCCCACATCACTGAGGCCACATTTGCAATATTAAGGAATGACCCGTCAATCTCTGAGGCCACTGTGATGTAAATGGAAATGTTGGACAAGAAATCTAAAGGCCTGAGTTTGAGTTCCAGCCCTCTCCCTAGGTAAACTGTTTTTTACTTCTGAGCTTCAGTTTTCCTTGTGTAAAATGGTGATAGCAATTAAGGAGAAAATAAATATAAGAGGGCTCTTCAAATGGTGGTGTGTTATACAAATGTTAATTGCTACTTGCAGTATTGCTGTGTGGATTAAATGAAAGTGTGCTTTGTAGGCTCTACTTTGCAGATCTTGGTGTCACTATTGTTATCCCTTCAAGCCCTTGTCTTTTCACTTCCCGTTGCCTCTGCCCTAATTGCTGGCCCTCACTAATTCCCTCATTTGTCCTATGGTGATGGCATCTTCAGGACAGACGTGGAGTTCCTGTGCAAGCTGGTGGAAGTTAACTGCTTTCCTCCATTGTCTGCACACATCTACATTTTCCTTCATATTCTTCTAGACATCTTTCATGCTGGTGGCTGGAAACCATTAAAGTCCTCCACATAGTTGTTTTTAGTCTCCAACTGTCGTTAGGCAGAGTTGAGAAATTTTCTCTTTCACAATGACCCACAGCAAATAGTTGCATGTATGTTACATTTCTACTCCGAGGAGGCCGCACCATATCAGATCCATGTCTAATCCGTTGTGATCTTAATGTGTCATCAAAGTGTTCTCAGTGGATCTGTACTGCTCATTTTTTGTCCAAATTTTTCATCTTGGAATTCAAGATGAAATTTGAATCCCAGCTTCTGTTTTTTCATTATTTTCTTTCATTTACTGCGAACTCTGGTCAAGTGGGAACTTTTCGCTATTGCCTGTAGGCAGGGTTGATCCTCCTGCCGGTTCTCATTGGTTCGCCCACACTAGTTGTTACAATATTGAAGTTCTTCACTACCAGTTGCTAAGTGTCCTCTCTAATTTTTTTTAATTAATTAATTAATTAATGGCTGCACTGGGTCTTCGTTGCTGTGTGCAGGCTTTCTCTAGTTGCAGCGAATGGGGGCTACTCTTCCTTGCAGTGCACGGGCTTCTCATTGTGGTGGCTTCTCTTGTTGCAGAGCACAGGCTCTAGGCTCATGGGCTTCAGTAGTTGTGGCACACAGGCTCAGGTGCTCCGCAGCATGTGGCATCTTCCCAGACCAGGACTTGAACCCGTGTCCCCTGCATTGGCAGGCGGATTCCTAACCACTTGCCCACCAGGGTAGCCCTGTCCTCTCTTCTTGCCTGAACCCCTGAGTGCCATTCACCTGAAACCCCAGCCACCTCAGTCCCTCTCCTGGGCCATGTGATTCCCATAATCAAGTAACTTAAGGATTAATGCACGGAGTGGTGAGGGTCTCTAGGACTTGCTCCAGCCTCGTAGCCTGGCCACTGTTCTGATTGGTCAGTGCTAGGTCACAGTTTGAATATCTTCCTGTCTTTAGGAGCCCCAGAATTTCCCACTTACTGATTTTTTTTCTTGTGTTTCCTTCCTTTCATCTGGAATTTTTCCTTCATCTTCTCATGTCCAAATTCTACCTGTACAAAGACCCAACTCATAAAGAACCTTCTCCAGGAAGCTTTTTACCTATCTCTTCCAACTAAAATGATCTGTCTCTTCATTGATCTACCACAGCCTTTTATCTGCACTTTTTTTGTGGCATGTATTACAGCCTATCTTGAATTATAGCTATTTAAGTATGTACCACTTTTTTTCCTGTTAGACTGTCAGCTCCTTGAGGACCAGGTATAGTATAATGCCTTTTTTGTGGGGCACCACCCGCTCATCCTAAATGTCATTCAAACTACTACTACCCATACTCTGGGTCTAGGACAAGTGTGTGATGGGTTACTAGTAGGCATGAGGACTTTTATGTGACAAATGAAGAATTTAAAGTTTCTTGTGGTCTGTGTTGCAATCTTTTTCAACGGTTTGACATTTTTGTGCAATAAGACTTCCTTCTGATTCACCTCTCCCTGGTCCCCATATCCCCACCCCCCAGCTCTTGGAAGGCCTAGGAGTGGGCAGGTTAGTTCAGCTCTGTTCCCAGGCTTTAGAGAGAAAATATATGAGTTAGGGTGCTTTTGGGTGAAGATAATAGGAAATTGACTTAAGACAGTTTAAGGAACCATAAAATTATTATTTATTGTCTTTACAACAGGAGTCCCCCGGAGCAGAAGAGCAGGGTTGATTGATTCAGCAGCTCAGTGATGTCATTAGGGGTGAGATTCTTTCATCTTTTTATCCCATGATCCACTTTACCATTATAATCATAGGTGACACATCCAGGGCATGTATTTTCTTGTTCACATCTCGGGGTGGGCGGGGAGAGACTTGCTTTTCTTTTCCAGAAATCCTGAACAGCCTTCTCTTAAATCCCATTACCTCACACGGTTTAGGCCTGCCTATCCCTGAAGGAATAGATGGCCAAATTGATGGAATTACCTCAATTAGCTGAGACAAATTGTTTAGGGATGGAATACCTCAATTAGCTGAGACAAATTGTTTAGGGATGGAATGGGTGTTGGGGAGCTGTGTTGGGAGATTATATTTTCCAAAAATGGCCATAACGCTATCTGCCCTCCCACACGTCCTTCTTACAATGTGACCCTCACACTCCCCCCCTCAGGAGGTAGGATCTATATTTCCTCCCCTTGAACCTGGGTGGGCTTGTGGTGACTACTTTGGAGGTGACACTATGTGATTTCTGAGACTTGATGTTAAAAGGTGACATGGAGTCTATCTGCTTCTCTCTTGGGGTGCGCACTCAAGGAAACCAGCCACCATGCTGTGAAGAAGCCCAAGCTGCCACATGGACAGACCCATGTGCAGGGAAACCACCAGCCAGCACTGAACAGCCAGCCGTGTGAGGTGCACTATCTTGGAAGTGGATCCTCCAGCCTCAAGCTACCCCGCTGACACCATGTGAAGCAGAGGAGAGCCGTTCTATGAGGCACTAAGTTTTGGGGTGGTTTGTTATGCGGCAGTAGACAGCTGGAACAGGGGTGCACTCTGGAAAGAATTGTGTTTCCTCAGTGCTTTCTCTGATGTCTTACTCTTTTTGTCATTGGATTAGTTAGGTATCAAGAGCAAGGCCTAAAGTGAGGAAAGAGTTGAAGCCTGAAAGGAATTTTATTGTTTAGTTCAACTAATTTGCTGTCTGGGATTTCTATATGGGATTTGGGGGTTCATGATTTATAATAACAAGTGGTGATTTTGCACATCTCCCTTGAGAAGTTGCAGTAGGTGATGGCTGGTTGTGAGCTGGATGTTCAGGATCCAAGGAAAATAATCAATGACAACTATCTACTCCCTTTTTACTTAAAGTACGGCCCACCCTGGAAGGAGTAATCCTTGTTAAGGCATCTTCTTACCTGTTTTGCCTATTCTAGGAACCAGGATCTTGACTTGCTGTCAGAAGGGTCCACTCAGCTCAAGTAAGTATTCCCCAGAGTAACTTATTTATTTGTTTTAACTGAAGATGAGAATGACTGAATTCACACTTTAGAAAAATCTATATACTGTTTTTAAAGTGTTAACTCAATCATAAATATATAAGTAATAGAGTAATATGGTGTTATTTATTTATTTATTTATTTTTCTGTGTATTTTATAATTGTTCTTTTTTTATTTTTTTTCACATCTTTATTGGAGTATAATTGCCTTACAACGGTGTGTTAGTTTCTGCTTTACAACAAAATCAATCAGTTATACATATACATATGTTCCCATATCTCTTCCCTCTTGCGTCTCCCTCCCTCCCACCCTCCCTATTCCACCCCTCCAGGTGATCACAAAGCACCTAGTTGATCTCCCTGTGCTATGCGACTGCTTCCCACTAGCTATCTACCTTACGTTTGGTAGTGTATATGTGTCCTTGCCTCTCTCTGGCTTTGTCACAGCTTACCCTTCCCCCTCCCCATATCCTCAAGTCCATGCTCTAGTGTTATTTAAATGGTAACAAATTCTGTGTCTCTTAGGGATCTGACTAAACTCCTTAAGTAGGTGTGGTTAAAGGAATTATTGCTGTCTTGATCTTCTACTTTGTAATCTTGGGTTTGCTTATTTCCCTGAACTTTTATGTACCTGCTCTTTGCCTTGCTATCTCCGTCATATGATCCACATCGGTCCCTTCCTGATATTCAAAGCTCCTACTATGAAGTCTAAGAGTTTGTTGACAATTTCTTAAAGTTCAGGCTTCAAGCACTGTCTTCACCAGCTAATTGGCGGCTGCAGACTTGAATCTCTGTTGAGTGCATTTTGCAGTGTTCTGCTAAAGTGGCCTGTTCCTGGAATTGGCTTTCCGTTCTCTGCACGTCTTTTGCCCTGCAACCTGGCAAGAGTTGGGCTTATGTAGAACATCTGAGCCTTTGGCAGGAAGAGAACAACTTCTAGATTCCAGAGGAGAGAATCTCCTCTTTCTCCTCCACTGATCAAATGTGGAGGTAACTTTGGTTGCTTCCTGAATTATAAGATGAGACATCCCTAAGACTTTGGTCCCTCTGGGTTTTTATTATTTCAAGGTTTCTGTTATTCGGACCACTGAGATACTCAGTAAGTATTTGCTGGGTGAATGAATGATTTTCTTTTTTTGTCTAAATTTATTTAAAAATTTTTTTTAGTCTACACAAGCCACACTTTATTTATTTATTTATTTATTTTTTATTGAAGTATAGTTGCTTTACAATGTGTTAGCTTCTGCTGTACAGCAAAGTGAATCAGTTATCCGTATACATATATCTCCTCTTTTTTGGATTTCCTTCCCGTTTAGGTCACCACAGAGCATTGAGTAGAGTTCCCTGTGTTATACAGTCAGGTTCTCATTAGCTATCTATTTGAATGATTTTCTATGGGTTGGAATTCTTGGAGCTGATTGCATTAGAGATAAAGAAGCTGAAGTCCAGAGGGGTTGCAGGAATTGGTGAGGACTCTTTAGAACTAGGTCTCCGGCTTTACTGTAAATACTTGCTCATCCTAGGACTCAACAGACCAGCCCTTTCTTTCTGAAGGTGATCCTGATGGCCTCTCCCATCCACTCCCCATCCAGTAGAGCTGACCAGTGTCTCCACAGTACCCTGATGTCCTTGACTGCTGCAAGCAGTTATTTATCTACGCGTACATCTCTTCCTGTTGAGACTATAAGCTCCTTGAAGATGGACGCCATATCTTAGTTATTTTTTTTTTAATTAACACACAACGCAGTTGTGGCCTTCAATATGTAAATGAACAGATGAAAGAGTGAGTGCATATAGTGACTGCATATCTTAGATTTTTCTCCTGTGATAGTGAATTTCAGCCCTTCTGTAGACCTGTCAGATCAAGTGCTTCAACACTTTATAATAAAATATTTTCCTTAGACATTGTATATATGTCTGTATATATGCATTTTAATTTTTTCTCTTAAAACTCATTGCTATTATTAGAAAAAGAAATACAGGCTTATTATTGGAAGTTCCAATAATGTAGAAGGCTTTAGAGTGAAAAGCAGCAGCTTTTCGTTCCTTCTAGATCCACTACCCTCTGTAATCTGTTTCTTGAGGAGTTTATTTTGTTTGATTTACATATATGGAGTCACACTGTATATAATCATTCACCACTTACTTTGTTTTCACTTAATGATTTATTTTGGACATCTTTTCATATCAGTGCATATATTTCCACCTTATTCTTCTTAATGACTATATCGCATTCTATAATACAGATATAATATCAAAGGCCTAGTAGTGGACTTTTACTGAAAGACAGTTAGATGGTTTCAGTTTTTCCCTAAGAAATGTTCCAGAAATCCTGTACACATACAGGTATAACTGAGGAGAAATTCTTGGAAGTATTACGGAATCAATGGTTTCCCTGATACGAGCATTTAAATTTTTAACAGATGTTGCAAAATTGCCCTTCAGGGGTTAGTAGTTTTTGATAGAGAAAGCAAGTCACTTCTCAGGTCTGTGGATCAGCAAGTCAGCTGAGGCATAAAACACCAAGTGGATACAAAGGAGTTAAATGCTGTGGTACGTTTTTGTGTTTTATCCTAGATATGAGGCATTTCTGGAGCCCACTGGGAATGTTGCTTTGGTTCTGGTTGGCTTCCTTTAGCCACCCTTTCCTCATTTCCAGCCCAGCCTATAAAGCTCCCTTTGCTCCACTGTGAGCCTCTCGGCACTTGGCAAAATCCCCCTCTGGTGCTTAGTTACCCCTTGATAAGGAGCCAAAGCAAAAAAACCCGTCAGCCCGAGGAACAGGAATTTCCCGTTTCTCAGTCAAGCCCCTGCTGCCAGAAAGGTCTATGATTTCCCAGTTATTATCCAGAGTGTGGCCTCTCCTTGTGGTTTGCTGGGTGCTCTTTAGAGGAAGAGAGGAAAGCAAATGCTCTTTTAGAGCAAAACAGTATGAATTTTTAAGTCGTAAACTTAAAACACGAAAGAAACCAGGTTAAACAGGCTCACAATGTGAGGATGGGAAGGTTATTTAGTCAGTAAATATTTATTGAGCACATACCGTGTGCCAGTTCAGAGCACCAAGGCACAGACTGAATGTGTGAGGGAGTGTTGGGCACAGCAGGGCTGAGTGCTGCTGCGCCTCCTGTTCTGGTCCCACAAATCAGGAGCAGAGAGGAACCCTGTCTCTAGTCTGTCTCCTGATTTTCGTCCCTATGGAGGAAGACCCACTGCTCTGTCTCTCCCCTCCAAGCCAGGCTGGTCAGTAAGAGATCTAGCAGTGGACCAAGAACTGTGGTGGTTTTGATGGTCCGAGTGGAAAAAATTATGTTTGCTCATGCAGATTTGGGGCCTGCGGCAGGGTAGAGGCTCAGAGCCACTCCCCAGGAAATGACTCAGAAACATGTACTGTCTGAGTTGCAGCTTTCCTTATCTCTCTGGAGAGCTTGTGGGTGGGTCCCTGAGTAGAGCTGCTATGGGCTCAATGATCCCAGCCCTCAGGGTGGTCCGGCTCTGTTAAGTTCCACTCAATTTCCTGAGTTTGGACACCTTGGTAGCCAGAACTCTAGTAATTTAGAGATGTGAGCACCACCTGTTGTCACAAATATTTGGGGGCTCCAAAAATGCCAGGAAGCCGTGCCCCAGAAGTTGCCAGAGAGAAATGCTGTCATGCTACCTCATGCTCTCCACCCACCGTCATTGTCCACAATCCCAGAAGGTGGCAGCCCTATGGCTTCAACCGTGGGCACAGCAGCCGGGGCTGGAGTTACTGTGGGTCGCAGAGCTGGTGTTGGGAGGGTGGGGCAGACAGACCTAATTCATTACAGGTTTCACCTAGAAGGAGTTGTCAAATTATAGGAGTCGCATGACGCCTTACACCCTTAGTATACCAGGAAAAATAATGATCACCATTTACCATCTGGGTCCAAGGCACTCTTTTTAACTATCTATCTATCTATCTATCTATCGAATCTATCTACCTACCCACCTATCTATCTTTTGAATCATTTTATAATTTATAGAAGAAGAAGGAAATAGTAAAAAATAAATTTATTAGAAATTATAATAAGAATTTAGATATAGCAAACTCAAATATTTGTTCCATATTTTCCTGGATTTGAAGATACACACACATACTCACTTTGTGTGTGTGTGTGTCTGATGTGTGTATACATTCACACACACACATATATAGGCTTATATGTATGTGTATCATCTTTATTCCATAATTGCAAAACATTTTCATTTTTAGATTTATAAATACCAAATAATCCGATGAATGTTTTTATTTCTATATCACCTATTTCTTCCCAGTTGCCTTGTTACACACACCTGTCTTCAGCATTGTTATGGCAAATATATCAAGTACATTTTAGTGCATAAACATTATAAGAGATGAAAGAATAAAGTCACATGTCTTTTTAGCAAAATGGGATAATTAAGGTTCATGCATAATATTGTGTGAAACAGTTCTTCCTGTTGAATAACTAACTGGATGAAAATACCATATTTCTTTTTGTCCTTAGAAACATATTCTTCACTCTCTGATTCTTGCAAGCTTATTTGGAGGGCAGCACAGCTACTTGTATTACCTTTATGAAATAATGATCTTCTCTACTAGGGAACACCATCTTCCTCTACCAAGCATTCAGCTTTGGGAGAGACAGACACCGAGGTGTGAGGAGGGCAGGCTGCACCCAGCTAGCCAGCTAGAGCAGCAGAATCAACCCTGGTAATCAGCGAGGTGACAATATCTCAATGAGACCATGTCTCGCTCTCCCATGCAATGATCCCTGAGCTTGAGTAAATTCACTGAGAATACTGTCATCTGAAGACTCGAAGTATGAGATTTCATTTGTTTGATCAATTTTGCCATGGTCATTAGAGAGCTTTGCTATGGGTCTCTTTGCATTTATCTTTTGATTCATGAGATAGTTGAGAGATGTGTTCTTTTGCCAATTTTCTTCTCTTTGCCATTAAGTGAAGAAAATGAAAAATTCTAA